TTGACAACAATTCCTTTTGAACAAGTATAATATGCAAGTGGACAACTAGAAAGCTTGTTTGTATACTTTTTACGCTGGAAATACACATGCTGTGGAGTTTTTGCTTAAAACAATATTGAAACAAGGAAATAAATCAAAGTGTTCCTGTCTCAGATTTACTATTTTCAACAGCATGCGAGGAAAGGTTTCATTAGATGAAGTAGGACTGTGACTTCTCACTTAGAAATCCCCATTCAGGGTGGACTCCCTCAGTTGGCCCTCACTGCAACTGGGAAGAACAGCATTTTAGAATAATCTTATTAAGACTGCGGCTCTCTCCCCCTTTCCCCAGGAGCACACCCATACCGCTATTTCTCAGAAAAACCTAGGACAACTGGGTTCAAATACATGCTCTAAGCAGAAAACAGCAAAAGAAGGAACACTACATGTATGAAAAGAAAGCCAAAAATCAAAATACTAAATGGGTACTCTGATATAGCATTAAGTGTCAGTTCATGCAAGGATTTAGAGAGGAGGAAAAAACTGGTAGTCAGGCCAGCAATACAGCAGCATAAAAGTGAGGGTTAGGATCTAATCAAATTAAGCACAAGCAGAATTCAACCCATTTTAACTTGAGTCATCTAAAGTTAAGGTACAGCTAAGGTTAAAAGTAGTGTGATCAAAACAATGCCACTGATTTATGACCAAGAATAAGCCTGCCAAGCGAGCACCCCAAACCTACTAGCAACCCAAGACAATCAGGGACAGCAAGTTTCTTGAGAAATTCTACTGACCAGTTAGCAAAAATAAGGAACATAGATATTCGTAAGAGGACCAAATAAACTAGAACAAGACACTATTTATCTTCTTAAATACAACTGTACAATAGATATGTTTGGGTTTTATTTCAACCTGTGGTAAAGGTATAAATGAGATTACTGATTCTAGAAATGAACTATAGGTAGTATCTGCTCAAATGGGTAATAGGGTAAAAGATTACCTGTAAATAATGTTACTCAGTTTTTCCTTCAGTTGCTCTTGGCAATAATTTAAAAGACTCCCCTGTAGATATTATCTTGTTTTCTTTGGTTAACCATTTTCCTCTCTAGAGACACTCTTGGAGTTGCTTCTTGCCTCTCTCAAGGCTGAAGAATTTTAACTTCAGTAAAACTAAAAAGGGTTAATTTAGGATCTCCTAACCTTGAAGTACTCTTCCAAGTCTAACAGATGCTTTCAGGGGAGTTTTCCAGATATTTCACCTACATTGTTTTTTTTAGCAGTACTTATATTATAAAAAGCTACCCACAGACCTTTGTCAGCTAGAGGCATAGACATATCACAACCCATGGGCAATATAGGTCCACTAGTGAACCCCTAGCGTAGATGCTGCTCTGCTCACAAGACACAGCTTCTACCAACTGAGCTCCTGTTGTGTCAGGGAGCTCGTGTAAAGCTGACAGCAGAATGCTACCTTCTTCCTGTTGAACTAAATGCATAGCAAGGGGCCCAACTAACTTGATGCTTATCACCATAGTTAAAGCATCAGCAGAACAGCACCCATAGCATAAACTCAGTTGATGGTATATGAGTTCTTAAATATACCCATTTGTGCCACCATAAATACTTGGTTTCCCTCCTGAATGTTAACAAACTTTAAGTACTTGTAAAGAATAACACTTCAATAGGTTTGTCTACCTATTATGGCTTCCATTCTTCCCTCATACGTAATTTCTTCCACTAATTCATTTATTACTTTTCACCAGTTTCTTTTTAGTTTACTTGGTATCTTTCAGTCACAGAAGCACTCAGTCATATGCCAGCTTCACCAGTGCTCTATTAGGAGGGAGCAGTTATCATCTCCTTAGTATACAACCTGAATGACAGAATTTTCAAAAGAAACAAAAGCATTACTGACTTAAACTGTCTTTGGAAATTGGATTCAGGAACCCAGGTAATATAAAAAATATAAAATAACCAATTTGAAAATGAGAATCTGGTACTTCTGAATATTTAATGTCTCTCCAGATCAAGAATAGCACTGTCTCCTTTTATCCTGTCTTCCCCACCAATATATTGTAGCGTAAAGAACAGAGATACCCCCATATCAAATCATGACCCATTTGCCCTCACTCTCCACAACCATTCCGCCATCCAGAAGCCATAATTATTTTATTCTGTGAACAATTTCATTTCTGTGTCTAAGAAAAAAAGACTGTACGTGATAAATTATGAAGACTACTAGTTCAAAAACAGTTTTTTTAAAGTATTTATTTCACAAATATGGATTAAGTATGTAGGTAGATACAAAAATTATGCATCAGTTCTAGTTTATTACAACTACATTTTAAAAGAAACTGATTGGAGTATAACATTGTTTTATACAAACCTCACAGCAAGAGACCTATTTATTAAACAATTTCTTGACCATAGGAGGAATATATTCACTAGAAATATTTGTTATACTACACAAATGATAAAATAGCTGTATGACATAGGTGTGGCTATATGTTTCCCCACCTCTTCCTGTATTACTGTTTCTACACAGGAAGGATTAAAAATTAGAGAAGAAGTCCTCCCTTTTCTTTCCCAAGCTGCACTCTTCTTTAAAGTAAATATAAATCAAACAAACAAACAAACAAACAAAGCCTTTCAAAAAAGAGAACTAGAACTACTGTATAAAAGTAAGCTACATTTTACCTATAAGTACCAATTGCTAGCAGTGACTGCAATGGGCAATGAGGTTTCCATCATCTAAACTAGGTTTTTTAAAGACATTTTAAACATATTCACTTTAAAAATCTTATTGCTGAATAAGACTACCTAGTTGTACCCATCTGTCAAAAAATACCAGACACACCAAATTACCCACGATTTCTTCAAAAGCAATTTAAAAACATAAATGCTCACTGCTAGACAAGGAGTTGTTATAAAAATTAATTCTGTTCCAAGTTGCCTTGCCACCCATACCAAAGACACACTGGAAGCAATTATAATAAATTTTGGGGCATGCCTCTTTTAAACCAGCGGCAGGGTTGGTGTGCTGTTGTAGCCCTGACAGTCTGGGAAACATGTAAGATGCCCTTGTTTTCATTTAAACAATACTTTTAAATACTATTAACCAAATGCTGTGTCAATTACATTTGAAAACCTGACTATGAATTAAGTTTGGTCACTATCAATCCCACTGTTAAGCCACTAGAAATTAAATTTTTCACAGCCCATTACAATTCCCTGACCCACTCCGTCCAAGGGCAACAAAGTACCACAACAGAAGTTAGGCTTTGTTAGTACAAAAGTCTGCTACTGGCAATGGATACAGCATTAAAAAAAACATTAAGATTCACTTAACTTCATGCTAATGCATAATACCCACTACTAATCGTGAAACTTCCTAATAATGCTAATCTCCCACTATCACACTATGGCATACAACTTCCCATCAATGCCATGTCACCTCTTTTTCAAATGTGTCTACACACAATAGTACAAAAATATCTAAAGACTGCACAGTGTTTTCTATCATGTATAGAAGATGCAGATTTGTCATTTCACCACTCATAATTCCATGCTCACATGGCATTTCAGCAATGCATTTTTTGGTTCTGTGGGAAAGTCCCAGGTTCAAAGTTAATCTTGTCTTTTTTGTTCCTTCAAGAGAGCTTATTCAAGGTTTCTCCAAGTCTTTCCATGGCTTCCGTGCATGCCTATGTTTTTAGTATCTTGAAAAACCTATTCTGCCCCTTTTGGTTTTGCTCTGTGATAAAACAACAAGGCTCATGTTATGCTTTCAGTTATGCTATTTATACATATAATACATTTTCAAAAGTATTGCTTGGGTATTGCAAAAGCACAAGGAAAAAAAAGAATAAAATTAGCAGCACTTAGCATTCAAATACAGATCACATTATGAAACCTTTTAAAATTTGATACCAAGTGTCTTGATATAGAAAGAAATGATGAAGGATCCTCAGTACGGGTTGACACACCACTATCCCAAAGCAGCCGTAGTAAAATAATAAATACATCACCTTATGTTTGAAAAGATTAGACTCCCAAAGTAAAGAAACACTCAAATGAAAATACAGATATATCTTCTCAAAAGTAGTAAAAACACAGACCCTACAAGCTTAACACTCCATATACTAGGTCACCATGACAAGATAAACACTATGAAAAACAATTTCCAGAATATATCCCAACTTCAGGAACACCGGTTGTGAATTAACTGACTACAACATGAAATAGCTTGACCAACATTACGTTTAGTTTGCCCTAATGTGATCTGTTCAAAAGCAAAAGTGCAAAAAGAATATTATTCAGAAGAAGTCCATTTTGGGCTGGACTTAAAAAAAAAAAAAAAAAAAAGGTATAGAAAGCTAAAAATGTTGGGAGTACCTGGAAGCCAAGTAAAGACAGAATGAAAATCTCATAACCCCAACACAGGAAGTAATAACGGTAAATCCTAGCTTCAGACCTGGGGAACTGTACAACTGAAAGGAAGGCAATAAGGCACAGATATACTCAATGTGTAAATGGTATGTGATTGAGAGCTATGACAACCAGGTCCAGCCAAAATGTCTGACACACTTAGCTTTCTCTGCTCTTCTAAATCATTATTCAAGTGAGCTTCCATAAATAAATAGGGGAAGCATGGTTGGCATGTGTGTGGGGCGTTTTGCTCATCACTATTGTATTAATAATTGAAGGTGCATTAAAAGAGAACGATTCTCTTCAGAAAATTTTATGGTATTGGAATTTTGGTTTAAGTACAAGCTTTCCTTTCATAACAGAAGTTTTAGGAATGAGCGCCAACCCTAATCACACGTGAGCTAAGCACTTCCATCTTGAAAGCTTGTTCATATTATTGTTCAGCTTGAAAACTTGTTCATATTATTGTCTTTGGCTGGTTTCAAACAAACCCCAAGTTAAATCAGTAACAGAATGGGTTTTGGCAGCATTTGTGTATAGGCTTGTTTTTTAATTTGTAGGATAAATTTAATTTCTTATAAACAGAAAGTTACCTGTTTGTATTCACCAACGCAGTTTTGGCAGCAGAATCTTTTCTGCTGACCATCTATAGTAAGGATATTGTTTCCAGCTCCTTTACTGGGCAAGTATTCCCCACAATGTTCACAGCAATTCATTATTAAACCATTCGCCATTCTGTATCTATTGAAGCAGTGGTCACTACACAGCTTATGAGTCATGTTTTTAAAGCTAACTTCATGACGAATCTGAAAAGAAAAAAAAATCATCAACAAACAAAAAGTTACTGCCAAGAACTAGTGGACAAGGCAATGACTATATTCAACAAAAGTTTTAAGTATAGTATTAATTTAATTGGCTTCCTAAATTACATGCTCACAGATGCATTTGAAACAACATGGCGGTTGTATATCTCTCTATTTGGGTCAGCTTCCAATCTCTAGGCAAAATTCTGGACCCAGATGTTTCTGTGACACTGGAGTCATAGGTCACAGGACAGAATTCACAAAGGCTACCCATGAAAAAGGGATTACACAATTTTACCATGCTGGCAGTTTGCTGGACAGGTCACTCAATTGTGTCTTTAATTTACATCACTGACTTGGGACAAATACATTGCACTTTCCCATATAAGACACGCCCTGTGTTTGCACCCAGAAAGCAATACTGAAAATGTTGTACAGCAAACACTGTAAATTCTAGCTGTAAAAATTTTTACTCAAAAGGATTCTCCAAAATATGCAATAATAAAGCCTTCATTTTTTGAATGCTAACATTTGTATGTAGTATACTGGCTAGTATTTACCCCTAGATAAACAAAGATCCTCAAAATAACTACTGAAAACCAAAATATGAAAGGAGCAGAACACAATTTCTGGTTTTCCTAAAGTTTCCTGAGCTTCGTAAAATTACTAGCTGTCTAAAGAGAAATTTTACAACAATAAGCAACGAGGGCGAACTATTAAATGGTAGCTGTACAAATACTAGGACTGTGCGAAGCTTTGGTCTTCGATTCAATTAGGCGGAGATTTGGCACAATTCAGTGGCTGAATCTCTGAACCGGAATCGAATCAGAGGACCCTTTAATCTCTCTGAATTGAATTGGAACCCTCCAAATCAATTTGGAAAGGTTCGGAGATTTGGATATAGAGATAGCTTTAAATGTTTTTTTCTGCATACATCTAGGTAGCAGGGGCTCGTGAATGCTGTGATGCTGGGGGTTGGATGGAGCACCCCACAGCAGCGCAGGGGGGTCCCCCAGAGCGCTTGACAGTGGACCCGGAAGTGGACCAGAAGCACTTTCAGTCCACTTCCAGGTCCACTGGGGAGCATGCTGGGGGGCCCCCCCGCACCTCCCCAGCTCAGTGACTGGCGCCTCCTGGGTCTGGAGGGGCACCCAGGGTCCCCCTGCAGCTGATCACCGAGCCGGGGGGCACAGAGGGGCCCCTAGTACTCTCCCCGGCAGACCCGGAAGTGGACTGGAAGTACTTCTGGCCCACTTCCAGGTTCACCGCCGAGCACATTGAGAGGCCCCCGCCCTCCCACCATGGGACACTTCATCCGCCCCAGCATTGTAGCAGTCACAAGCCATGCTGGTACCTCAAGGTATGTAGAAAAAAACTTTTAAAGCTGTGTATGTGTCCGAATCACTGATTCTCCGAATCGGCATCAAATCTGAATCGGGAACAGTGACCCGAATCAACGAATCAAATCACTGTCCCCAATTCGGGCCGAATCCGAATCGAATAGGGCCCGCAATACATAACAGCCATTAGTGATGCATAACTGACTTAGATTAACAATTATTTTTTTCTAATTTTCCTTAACATTAACAAATACAAATGAAGAGGAAAAGAAAAATAAAGCTGTTAAAAATACTTAACTTAGCTATCACAAATACAAAGATACAAAACATATGAACACAAAAATACTAGGACATTTATAAAAGTGGCTTACTTTTTTCAATGTTCTATACCAAAAAGTGATTTATGCTAAATAAGAGAAGAAGAAGAAAAAAATCAACCAGACCTCAGTCAGTTTACCACAGATAGTGCATCTTGATTTATTCAAAGCTCCTTTTGAGGGATTCTGTTTATCTTCATAGAAGGACAAACATGATGTACTGCAAAATTCCTGGAAGGACTCACTCGAATCAACTTGAGCAACAATGGTACCTTTCATTGTTGTTATATCTCTGAAAGACAAAGAACTCTAGCATAACTTTAAAAAAAAATAAACAGTTAATAACTGCTTTTCCCCACCAAGCAATTTTAATGCTAAGATCTTAAACAGATTTTGGAGCAGTTTGATTATCAAGTCTGTCTCTGCAGAATACAGGAGGAATATGAAATCACCTTATTGTTTTCTCTATCACCATTTTTCTTAAGCTAAGTAGTATTTAGTTGAATAAACACATACCTATGACTAACTACATTATGCGAAAGGCAACAATTCTTGTGGGCAATATTTATTAGACAAACTGCTTGCTTGGATTCATGGCAAATTACGTGGGTGAAATCATAATGATCGCAATGGCTGCTTACAGATGTAAAAAAATCCTAAAACAAAACGGCGCTTGACTTTAAACTCAGCATGCCCCACACCGATCCCAGCGCATGCCCAGAACAGGCACTGCATTAGCTTGGCCCACTTGCCCAATGTCTGTATAGATCAGGTGCTTCAGCTTTCAGCTTTTTTGGCACTTTTATCTGATAGCAGAGTGAATCAGCTTTAAATAAAAACAACAAAGCGCCCAATCTATACAGACGCTGAGGAGCCGGAGTTGAACTTGCGTACTGCCTCTTCTGGTAAGGCATTTTATTTCCCCCACCCCACATCTGTCAGCAGCCCAAAACACCAGAACACAAGTAGGAGAACATTTTCACAGGAAAAAAAAAAAAAATCACTCCTTCTGACCCACAAAGGAAATCTACCAAACACCTTTGAAAGAGGAGCTTGGGAAGAAAAATTCATTAGCCTGTAGTACCAGAGACTTAACATGGAAAATGACTTCCTGGCCCTTTATCATCTACCCCAAGATCACTAATCTCTCCACTTCACAGGTGATAACAATCCTCCTGAAGGATCTTGTTCTTTCATTACTGCATCTCTCCTGTTAGCTTTTTTTTTTCCGTCTGGTCTTTTTTTTTCTCCATCTGGTCTTTAGCTCCACTGTACCTGGTTCTCTCCCAGAGACCTGAAGAAGGGTACTGTGATACCTGAAAGCTTGTCTATCCCAATTATGCACTGGTCCAATAAAAAAATGTTACCCACAAGAATTCTTGACTCTTGCATATTCCTGGACCATCATGCAACATTGAATCATCACTTCAACACTACCATAATGGTACATTAAATATTCCAGGTGGATCCTATAGAAGAAAACGTAATACTTCTGCATATGCAAAAGGAAATTATGTGTTTATTTATAGTCCACCCCATCTTTATCAATTACTTCCAATGTTGAGCAACTATTTCCAAGTCTCTAAAGCACTTCCAGTATTAAAGAACTAGCAGTCTGCATGAGTGGGCAGTCATTAGCTGTGTAATTCTAATCTTGGTTTACTTTATTGCACGCAGAAGATTAAAATGTTAACTAACATTTTTATTAATTTTTTTCTTACTATAGTACTAAACAATTTTATATAAAAATTAAGCAAGTTGGTCAACAAATAGCACCTATTATTTGCCCTTCAGAAACCTATTATTATAGAGTAATTTTTTTTTTTTTTTTTTTTTTTACATAGGGCTCTAAAAACATTCTTTTCAGCCACAGCCAGAAATTTTAAGAACAAAACCCCACCCTCAATTTACCTGGTCTGGCTGCATATTTCAATAAAGCATTTAAAAAAGGGAGTCATTCAATAAAAAGTTCCAGAGCATTAATAGGAATAGGGATGACCTAGTTGTAATTCACTACTTTTGGACCATCCAAATAGTAAGGAGAGGTTTTGAACCTCTTTCCAATTAACATGCAATTATAAAAATCTTACAACCAGCATTTGACACTCTTGATTTTCATCTACATTGGGGTGGACAAAATCCAGCCTGCGGGCCAGATCCAGCCTGCGGACGGATTTTAGCCAGCACGCAGCATGGCAGCCAGACTCCATTTCCTGGCAGCCCCAGCTCTTTCAGCTGCCACTGCTGGACCCAGCACCATTGCCCAATCACCCAGGTGCATCCGCCCCATGCCCAAAACCAGTGGTGGGGCCTGCATGGGCAGGGTGCCCAGCCAGACAGCTGGGATGGGGCCACAAGCAGACAGGGAGCAGCGTTCAGGAGTGAGATAGGCAGACAGAGAAGGGAAGACCTCAGGATCTTGGGGTGGTGACAAGGTAGGGCCAAGGCCCAGGGCAGAGCTGAGATCCGCTGCCCACATGCCCCTGCGACGGGCACAGGTTCCATGAACAGAGGTATGCAGAGAGCGGATCACAGTTCTACCCTGGCCCTGCACTGTCACTGCCCAACAATACCAGCCCTAGTCCTGGACACAACTCCATGCACGGCTCTCAGCTGGTCTCTATGGATCATGAGATTCCCAGCTGGCCCTATACTGTCACCACTCCAAGATCCCAGGGTCTTCCTGGCCCCGCCTGTCCATCTCACTCCCAGACACCACTCCCCACCTGCCCATGACTCCATCCCAGCCACCTGGCCAAGTGCCCTGCGGGTCCCATCCCCAGAAGCAGGTGTGGGGTGGATAGGTCAGAGTGCCCAGGCACTGGGACCAGGTCTGGCAGTGGCAGCCAAAGGAGCTGCTGCTGGCAGGGCTGCTGGGAAACGGAGTCGAGCTGCCATAGGCTGGATTTTGCCCACCCCTGATCAACATAGTGCACTATGCTCCCAAGAAGTTTCAGTAGTCTCAGGGGAATGCCTATTGGGTGCTACATTATGACACTTTCCTTTTTCTAGTAGGCAAAGTTTCATTTCAGTAATACCAACATCCTGGAAATGTCATTCAGCCATATATGCCAGGAAGTGATCTAGAAGCTAACGACAGCATGTTATAATATCATATTGGAGTTGGATATAGCCCAAAACAATCCCAAACTCAGTTCTAAGTTCTCAAGCAAGGAGATGAAGATACAAATTACTCTGTAAAGACTGCCTTTAGAAAAGGCCTGTATTTCTACTAGAGGCAAAACACACATACATCTGCCCTTGTGGAAAAGGAAGTTGACCTTAGCAGAGCTTTTTGGAAAAAAGAGTGCTAAAGGATTACTGATTACTTGTATAACAGAACAGAGTTGGACTAGATTACCTTCTCAAGTCCCTTCCAACACTACTATTTTGTGATTCTGCGATCAAAAAGGGGAGGAAAATTGACATTTTTTACCAAACAGTGGTAGGAACAATTTTAAGCCATCCTTTTTATTTTTACTTTTAGCTAAGCCAGTCTGGTATTATGGATTTTATCCCCTTGGTATTTTTAAATTAAAAAAAAAAAATCAGTTTTATTAGAAACTGTTTTTAAAAGTTACACAATCATGTCATGCAGATTTTAATACCAAGTTTTTAGCAAGTCCCTAAATTTCAGGCCTTGGTGAATCACCTGAGGCCCACGAGCAGCTGTATGTGAAGAACCTGAGAGCTTGCTAAAACTCATATCTAAGGTAGCTCTGAAAATTTTGTTTTCTCTGGAAGCCACTTCATCTCTCAGCATACAAACAGCCCCCCTAAACCCAAATAAAACACATGAAAAAAATCCCATAAATAGCAGGAACACTGCATATTAAATCTATTGAAGTTACTATTTTTTTTGTGCGTTCAACAAAGGATTGAAATATCACGTGAAACTGGAGGAAACCAGCTGCTGCTCCCAACCCATACACCCACACCCCCCACAAATCCTACACACACCCACACACCCCTTCCCCCAAACCCCACAAACCCTATATCCACCCTCCCACCATCTATAAGAGTAAGACTTCATTTTAAACAATTATACTATCCCTTCTATGTATATTACACAAACACATGTAAATCAGGACAAAAATGTTTTTTGAAATGAAATTAATGAAAGTTGTAGTACATTTGATTTTTAGAACATAATTTGGTACCTTTCTGGTTCAGCCATGGCAAAAACCCCTTGCTGAAAGAAGTAATTCCAGGGGAGCAAGGGGAGGGACTTCTGGTGGCAAAGGTCAGGGGACAGCGGGCAGGACTTCCAATTCCAAGATGGCAACCAAGGGCTGTGGCACCTGTCAAGTGGCGGGACTAGCCATGTGGCCCTTGATGGCTTGCCAAAACTGGGTAAGCGGCCCTCCGCCCGAAAGAATTGCCTGCCCCTGAGCTAGAACATGCAATAAATCAACTAACCTTTCTTTCCATAATTGATATCTATAGATATTTTTCTACATTTGGCCCATTAAAAAGCGTGCACATATGCGCGCGCGCACACACTAGTTCTCTTTTGAATGCATTCAAATGTCATACAACTATATATCAGTTATAAAGAAATCCAAACATACTTAGTATATTTTCATTAAAAACTATGGGCATGCCTACCAGAAGATTCACAATGAAAAGGAGTCCTGGGCAAACACCACACCCACTGCATATTAATGATGAGACTGCTTCATCTCATACTTTAAAAACATTCCTTTTATAGATATGCAAACAAAATGGTTTTCTACCAAAAGTATTTACAATCATCCTGCATTTAATTTCCTCCATAAGAATCTATTATTTAATTAATTTCTGTGCAACGTAACTGTGCTGGATTGTGAAAAATAATTACAGAATGAATATTGAAGATAATGGTCATACTTAGGCTGAGCAATTCAAAAGCACAGATATTTTGTATGGCCAGTGTTGCTAGACTACAACTGCAGAAAATCTCCAACTAGTTCTTTTAATGAGTCAATGTCAAGTTGGACCCTGATCCTAAATCACCCATGTCTAAATAAACTTAACACTAGATCTCTGCATTACTCTGCATTACTGTCCACATACTTTCACTCCAAAAAAGACCAAAATCCTAATTTACAATTTCAACAACTTCTGTGTTTATTATTTCAGTTGTTTTCTATTGCTTCCCACAAGGCTCAATTCTCCAGACTTCTGCTCATACAAAATGCTGCAGATGCCCACTGAAAAGCATAGCCCATCAATACAGACCTCTCAAAATCATAGATGGCTCAGTGGAAGTAAGTTCCTAGCCCATGGACTTTTTGTTAAGACTCTCCATATGCTTGAGAGGCTACTTCAGAAGCATACCCATCTACTGGTCCACCTACACTTCCCTTTCCTCTTCTATCTAGCCCTAAGGTTCCTCCCAGATTATTAAACAAAGTCATGTTATATTTATCTCCCCCCACTTGCTAAATCTCAAAAAAGGAAGCTAGGGAAAAATAACATATCCCTTACTTTTTGCACATAACACAGAGTTTCTTTGGAGCAGGCTTATGTGAGAATGATGAAAGGCAAGTAGTGGAACAAAATAGGTGTGCTGATCCTTTCCGCTGGTATGCAGTCTGTCCCTTCTGCAAAGGTTTTTTGCAGTTTGCACATGTGACTTTAACCTGCTTAGAAGGTTGCTGCTGTGCAGAAGGCTGGAAAATCTGTTTAGGAAGTGATGCCACTGGTGATAAAGAATCCACACCCGGTTGCTTCTGATTCCTAGGGAATGAAGCTGATTGGGATATCCAGGAATCTTAAAGACATAAAATGCATGGAAAGTTAAGTAAACAGATACTTTCCAACATATACAACACTAGGAGTATTTGCCAATAAGGATATTTGGGGGGGATTTTTTTTTTAAATGCTTATGTGAATTATTCTCTGTCATTATAGCAGACCCCAAAGCATGGGACAAACACAGGACATGCACTTGCCAGACCAATCTCAGTGCTTAACACACATGCAGTAACTGCAAATTGGAACTTGCACCCACAAACAAAACCATCCCAGATGCAGTTAAGGATTAGCTAGAGGACAGTTTATTATACAGGGTACAAGTTTAATATGTTACATTTCCATTTTTTAAAATCTCACTGTAAAGGATCAACTTTATACTTAACAACCCAAATCTGAAAGACTACAGATATTCAAAGCAGTTTTCCAGGTGTATACTTCAAAAACTCCAAACGCTTGTCTTTGTTAGAAAGATCTTTAAAGCTGAAACTGAAAAACTTCTCATTTAAGACTTCCAAAAGATACAAATCCTTGAATTTCAACTCTGAAAGCAGTCTCCCAGTCTAGTATCTGTGACTGCCTCCCTCCCACCCACGCAGAAGTCCAGAGATTTTTTGTATTACAATTAAAAACAAACAAAGCAGGTTCATTTCAACCTTCATGTTATCTATATGATGGATCAAAAGTTTCTACAGGAAGTAATACTTGTTTTACTCTAAAACCCCTGCAAGGCAGTGGCTCTCAAATAAAACAAGAGGGATCTCCAGACTAAAAAAAACTGAATTTTTGGTCATCTTAATAGCCACCAATGAATAAAAAGTAAACAGTTAATCTAGTTCTTGCAGTATTGAAAATCCATCTTCAGAGTCTCCTCGTATCATATGAGCTCCAGGTAACACAAACCCAGACCACAAGCTTACTCCTGGCTGGTCATTTGACAGTATGAATCACAAAAATGTAGAAAATTCTTCTTCCCAAAGAAACAAATATCTCTCAAAAGTTGCATGCTTTTGTATGAACTGTGTTCTTAATGCCTTCATTAGGTTCAGGAGACAGTGTTCTGACTAAATAAACTATTTTCTTCCAAAAAAAAAAAAACAACTTCTCTAGCATTTTCTCCAGAATTTAAGTTTTCAATTTGAACAACTGTGTTTCTATCTAGCAATGAAGTTCTACCCATTGCAAAGAGGGAGGACTACTCTTCTTCTTAAATGAAGCATGAAAAAAAAATTTGAAAGTGAGCTCCTTTCCATTCTGTAGATATAAATTACAACGTGCAAGCTATCAACAGTACATTCAGGGCACCTGCACTTATCTTTTGATCCTGTCATTTAATGCTTCTTAATCAATGTTCACAGAAATGTTGTACAAGTAACTGTCTGACAGCTGTCCTTTTAGAAGGACCCTCAGTTTTAACATTTAGCAATGCCCCCTTTTTCCTCATGTATTGTGCACAGGAGTTTACTTAGTTTCCTTTCCATCCACAGCAGCAAATCACATGCCCAGGAAAATTCCTGGACGTGTGACTGTAGTTCCAGTATTACTTTTTTGAGATTTTATGGGTTGCTAAGGTGGGCACATTCCATTTCAATTTATGTTAGATCTCTAAACCAGGGGTGTTCACCCAGTCCACGGGCAAGATCCAGTCCAAAACCCTGTGCGATCCAGCCCAGGAGGCTCCCCACAGGTCTGGAAATTTGGTAGCATGGAAACAGCAGCATCACTCTCCTGCTGCCAATTTTCCAGATGCACAGGGTGCCCTGAGCAATGCATGCTGAATCAGGTGCCCAATACCAGTGTGCAGGGCTGGGCAGAGGTGGGGTGATGCTGGGCCCCAGGTCCCAATCCCAGGGTGCAAGGGTCGATGCCAGGCCCCTGGAGCCCAGTCCTGAATCACAGGAGGAAGGGGGCAGTGTCCTGCACCCCAAGACCCAATCCTGGTGTGCAGTGGCAGCGGTGCTGGGCCCACAGAGTCCAAGCCAGCCTGTGGACTAGCCCCACACAACACATCTGGCTGACAAGTCCAAGAGGCTGAGCACCACTGCTGTAAACAAAAACCATACCACTCAACTCCTTCTAATATGCTACAAGTGGCCTCAATACTCTCATCAGATCTTAAGGCTCCAAGCCAACTTTCCATACCTTCACACGCAGAAAGTTATTATAAAATATAGAAACAAAATAAACATCTAGTATTGTGCTGCCCAACCCACCTGGGCCTGCTGCCCAACCCACACTGTGCCAGGCCATCTTATCTGGCCCATATTTAAGGCCCTACTGAATTCATGGCAGAAGTGGGCTGCACTGCAGCTCCTTTAATCTTGCAGGTCCCCCCACACACCCTCTTGCCACCTACTGGAGAGGCCCCACTTGTGGCTCCCACCTGATCAGCAGAGAAGTGAAACCAGTGTTTTTGCCTCCCTGCCGGTCAGCAGCAAGCAATGGGGCTGCTTGGGCCTCTCAGCCAATCAGTAGCAAGAGACAAAAACAGCGCCATGTTTAAAACCGTGGTTTTCGCTTCCCTGCCAATTGGGAGCAAGCCACATGTGGGACCCCCTCCGCCAATCAGCAGTAGGGGAGCACATAGGGGAACCTGCAAGATTAAAAGGAGCTACAGCGCAACCCACTTGTGCTGTGAATTTGGTAAGGCCCTACCTACATGGCTCCCCAGAGGTGTAGCAGTGTAGCTCCTCACCTGGGGCAACAGCGATTGCCACCACGCCACTGGAGATGGTACAGTCAGCTGCCACTGCAGTAGTGGCTGTTTTTGCATCGCACCCCTCCCCTCCAAAGGCAGTACCTGAAGCTACTACCTCAGTGGCCCCTGCTCAGTGGGGGAGCAGTGGCAACATTAATTGCCATTACTCTTACAGCCACATTAATTAATGCTACCACTGCTTGCCTGTCACCAAATTTCTGGACCATGGCAAAGCCCACAAGCCTGACACCATAGTTCTGTCAGCCAAATCCGGCCTGTGGGACATAGGCTGAGCACCACTAATCTACCCATAACAGAGGATTCTTCTCAGTCCATTCTTGCTTTTCAGTTATTCATTCTAACCCCCCCATGGTCTCGCATCTTCACAGCACTCATCTTAATAATCCCCTGCTGCCAACTGTAGCCCAGTTTCTTGTGCCTCATCTCTATCTTTTCTGCTTTCCTCACTTAGACTTGGGACATATTTATTTTTATGGAGGACATTTGTGTCCTATGAACTCAAAAAAAGAAAGTTTCTCTTCCTTCCTCCCTGATTCTCTTTTGTTTCACTGTGATACTGTTGCCCCAAATCTCATTCTCCAGGTCCTTCTAATCCCACAAAGCAATACTTTTTTAGCAATACTTCTTCCATTTGTCTGCATTCTAGAATGTCCTCCCAGACTGCTGGGTCATCTGAGAAGCCAGCTTTCTACCCCTAGACCTTGCAGCTGTGGCCCAGAGTTCCCCACCCCACCTTCCTCCATAGAAGAAGTCAGCTCTTGCCTGACCATTGTAGCTTGTGCCTGAAGTAGCAAGCGAGCTGTTGGCATTATCTTGATGTAGTTTGTGATGTAGAAACAACACTTTTTTTGTTTTACAGGAACATATATAAACAACTATTACAGTTAAGAACTAACAACCTTGCTAGTACCCTGGCTCAAGGGTCTGAACCCTAAATTGTGTGCAACAGAGTAAGTCCTTGGAACATAGAGTCCAGGAAATGTAGCATTACAGGTAACACTCTTGGTGAGGCAACACATATTTCCTGATGTAGCAGGAATTTTTGCTGCCTGTTGTCTCATCAAGAGCGTCTCCCCTACAATGCCACGCGTCCTGGACAGTCTATGTTCCCCAAAAGACTTATTCTACATGACCCAGTCAGCCATGACTCTGGAAAAGTCTCTCCACTCTCACCTCCCCCCCTCCATTTTGCCTGCCAAAAACAAGGTGTAGGTTTTATTTGGAGGCACAGTGTATGTGAGAAAGATACAGTATTCTAGACTGCCCTCTTAATAAAATAGTAGAGGTACACTGATATATCAGTTGCCTATTGGATCAGCACCAATAAAAGGGAAATGACATTATTGGCTATCAGCTTTTCTTGGCCATTATAGCTAATAACGTTTACCGATAATTATGCCTTCTGGCCAGGGCCCTGGACACCTACATTCCCTCTACCCCATGGGGCCAGGGCCCCTGGATGACTGGGTTCCCTCAGGAAACAAAGGGTTTCCCCTTGAAGGTGGGCAGCATTGTAGCCTGCAGGGGGTCCTGCTTGGGGCTGCTGGGACATGCATGCACATGGCCAGGAATACCGCTGGGCAGTGTGGAGAGCAGCTCCCTGCTTGCAAGTCTGTGGAGGAGAAGGGGTGTGGGGGAGGGAAAATCAAAGCCCCTACGATAAGAGAGGGAGTGGGGCAGGGGCTGGAGGCGCTGCCCAGCCAAGGTGGTCAATGGGATCAAGGGCCAGGCTGGGGAGTGGAACAGAGCCACGGGTGGCTTGTCCAGGGAGCTGGGGGGGGGGGGGGGAAGCCCCCCCATCACTGCATGCACCCCTGCGGGAGGCATGAGGGAATATGTGCCCCTCCAGATTTGTACATGGGGCTCTCCACTCTGCTGCTTTTCCCTCGGGAGCCCTGCACCAGCCCTGTGCCCCCTGCCTGCCTGGAAGCAGTGGGGTGGCAAGTTGTGCTCCCCACTGCTAGGCAGGCAGAGGCATGCAGCTGGCATGGGGCTCCCAGGGTAAGGCAGCAGAGTGGAGAGCCCCAAGCCCAGTCGGCAACCTGCATTTGCCCTTCCCCTGCTCAGCTCTGTTCCACTTAAAAGCATCCCTACACTTAAAAATGGTGGCGGTGGCACTTGAAATAAAGCTCATTCAACGATGATCCACCACCGCCATTTTTAAGCGCTGAGACACTGATACCTATGACATAGGAGGCTGCTGGAGCACACCAAAAGAAAAGAAAAGATTTATGTCCATACTTTAAAATGCAACTGGCTATCAGATTGGCATCAGCTGAAATGGTTGGTTAATAACTGGCTATCAGTATCAGCCAAGAAAATCTTTATCAGTGCACCCCTATAAAATAGAGACTGGTTGGAACTGCTTTACCTTTGTTATTGGCTTAGCCTGAGAATTTTCTACACAGCTAGTTTAACAAGGCAACAGCAGGCTAATTTATATTGGAAAAACTTTACTTTCACAGTTGAACATTATAAGTTTTATTATTTTTAAATTAACTCCCAAAGACTGTAGTCCTAACTGTTCCATTTTGCCCTTACCACAGCCTGTATCTGGCAGAGTCAAGACATTTACTGCTATTCCGAGTTTCCTAAACAAACAAAAAAATCTTCCTAAGAGCCATAATTAACACTGCATAGCACAGAAAATTTTAGTAAAGAAGGCCCTAGAGAATAACTATTACAAATGACTATTAACAGACAGTAGATAGCAATACCTAAAAGGACACAAACCAGGTCCATCCTCATTATTCTAGGTATTGTCTGAAATGGAAATTATAAGTTCAAGGTCTTTCAGAACTACAGGATCAACATGCTACTCTCATGACTTAAAATTTAAGATCTCAGGTTCTCATACTCAGTTGTTTTGCTAAATGTACTCAAAAGGCAAGGATAACAAAATCTGTAGATAAAAGACACTACTTTTTTTTTCTAGGCGAAGTAGATTTAATGCATATAAGCCAGAGCACTACAGAAAAGGAAGTGTGGTGCTAATACTAACTTAATGCATAAATGTGCATGAGCTATGTAGGTACATAAAATCCAACTTCATGGACAGTATGGTGCCTGCATGCCAAATCAGTTATACACAGAAGCAAACATTGCTTTTTTGAAGGATTAGGTATTTATTTTTTTTATGAATAAATTACAGAGCATCATAGGAAAGTAGGGCTAGAAGGGAATTCATAAGGTCACCTACAGCCCTGCCCAACATTACATTTATGGAGTGACTGACTTGTTAAATCGTGCCATAAACTGCAATATGTCAAATATTCAGTTAACTTATGGTGCCATAAAATGACCAACCAGCCACAGAGATGTTCCATATATAATGGACTGCCCTCTTAAAAGCAGTCCCAACTAGTGGAACCTCTTTGTGGCCAATTTGTATGACAACCTAAAGTGAACATGTGGCATGTGTCCCAGAGCCAGCCCTGTCCCAGGCCTGATGCTGACAATCAACCAATTGTTGACTGCACCATTAATGCCTGCAGACCTTACTTCAGAGGCCCACAACCAAGACAGGATCATCCGTGACTAAACCATCCCAGGTAAATGTCTGTCTAACCTGCTGTTGTGAGACTGGAGTGATGCTGTAGCTTTGATGGTCCAGGAAAAACATGAAAGGCAAGAATGTTTATGGGCAATATATTTTATTGGACCAAGTCCATGACTGAGATAAATTTGAACAAGCTTTCAAATGCAGTAAGTCTATCCTAACCATGCAGTTATTCCAATAAGGGCTATCACCCAGAAAAATCCAAACAAGCTCTTGAAAATTCCGGGGATGGAGGTTCCACATCCTCTGTAAAGTAGGCTGTTCAAATGTTTAATTACCTTCATAGTCAGGAAGTTCTTAAATCTCCAAGCTAAATATCCTCTGCTGCAGCTCAAGGCCATTGTTTAGTTCTATCCCCAGTCACAGAGTAAAATATATCTCAATCCTCTTTATAATCATTATTCGGGTATTTGAAGACTTTTCAAGTCCCCCCTGTCTTCTCTTCTCCAAACTAAACAATCCTATTTCTTTTGGCCTTTCCTTATAAATCATGTTTCCCAGGCTTCTAATGAGTTTTCTAACTAATTGCTATTTCAGGACAAGTTTAAAGATATTGCACACTTCATTTCATTGAATAAGCAGGTTCTATTTCCATCTAGGAATGATCACTAGGCAAGTCAAAGATAAAACAGAGAGGGAAAAAAATCAAGTTTCTTTTCTAAGCATGAAGATAAAAAGCAGTTATTAAAGCATACATTTTAAAACCATCACATTACAATAATTTGTAAACCTTTCAGATTTTATGCATCTTTTAAACTTAAAAAGAAAGGTTTAAAATCATAACTTACCAGGATTGTGATGAGTCACAGATTCTCCATTTTGAAACACATCTCCAGCCACGTTCATTCTACCAGGATTGAAAGGTCCTACACCAGTCTTGGTCTGTGAAGTTAAAGATGGGGTGTATGTTTGTATATTAACACCAAAATTACTTGACTGCAGTCCGTTAGATACATCTCCCAAGTTGGTATTCTGCAGTGACGTTACATGTGTAATCATTAAGTTCATGTCACGCCCTTCAGTATTTTCTAAATGACCATCACTCACAGAGCTCATACCTGTTTCTAATGTTGTAACATTAGCAATCTGAATTTCAGAGTCTGGTTCTGTGGTTATACCACTATTAACTATTCCTGAATTTACCTTACTTCTTGAAAAACTGGAAGCTGAGAATTCCATATCGTTGGTTCTATTTTTACACTCTGGAAGCCTTCGTTCATTAAAACTGGAAGCATTCTTCTCTTGCCCTTGATTTGTTTCAATATCTTCCTCATCATCTATAATAATAGTCTCACTTATACTTCCTTTTTGAGAATTTAAGTCTTTTGGAGGAGGAAGCAGTTTGGACTCATTCCCTTGAAGCTCTTCATTTTTTGATGAAGTAAATGTAAGGCTTCTTTGATCCGATATCAGCGATGCAGAGGTCTGCGGAGGTTGTATAGGTTCAATAAAAACTACATCATCATCATCTTCTATAGATGAGTTTTGGAATTTATTAGATCTAGAAACTAGAGAATTAGGTGGTCCTCCAAAAGAACTTCCTACATTCGCAAGACCAGCTGCCATGGCGGTAGTCCCTAGTAAACCAGAAGGATGTTCAGATAGTTCTACTCCTCCGAAAGAACTTGCATCCATTCCAGATAAGCTGTTGTAAAGCAAAGAGGAAAACAAGTAATTTCAGTAAAATGAAGTAACTTCTTTTAATGCCAAAATAGTCCATAAAATTAAAGTCTTTGCTTTAGCTTTTCTTTTAACAGGATCAACACAATAAAAATGCAAAGCTTTCAAACCCTCTTATTTGTTTTTCGGACCTAAAAATGCAATCACTTCAACATCATTATGCCATACTAGCAAAGAATATGGTTAGTACCAATTTCAGCTTTATTACTAATACAGCAGATACTTGGCACTACATTTAGCAAGATACATTCTTTGACTAATCGTGCACACAGAGCAGGATAAAGAATCCATGTTAGAGATTTCAGGAAACAACAATGTTGCTGAATTCAGTTCATATTTCTAAGGTATAAATGTAATACCAGGTCAAACTAATCATCTGTCTAATCCAGTATCCAACAATGGCAGGAGTGAATGCTTCAGAGGGAAAGCACTGGACCAACAAACTTTTTTTTTTTCACTGACCACTTGAAAATTGCTGAGGGTCTCGGCGGACCATTTAATAAACTTTTTTTCTGTTCTACAAATCAAAGCACACGACTCATATTTTAATATCAGTAGTCTTCCCTGTCTAATGTGCCTCTTTTCTGAGCAAAGTTCTGGGAAGTCAGGTGTAAGGTTTGTCAGCTTTAGCCTTAGGTCACCTTTCTACCTGAATGGAGGTCGTGGACCAGTGGTGGTGTGTGGAGCACAGTTTGAGAACCTCTGATCTAGAGCAACAGGGCTCAAATGTTCCAGACTTTGGGCCAGATGAGTAGTGGGGGTTTAGTCCAAAGTATCTAGTACGTGGAATCAATCTTTGGGCCAGATCCAGCACAGGCTCAACATGCAGACGTGGCCCTAACCCCATGCATGCCACCCCAGCCCCCAGCCCTATGCATGCTGGATTGGGCCCACTCACCCAATGCAGCCCAAAGGGTTGTCATCTAGCTCGTGGGGCTTGAAAACTTGGTAGCAGCAGAGCAGGTGGCAGCATTAATGGCAATTGCTCCCCCACTGTCATATTTCCAGACCAGTGGGGAGTCCCATGGGCGAGACAATATGGCTCAGCAAGCTGGATCTGGCCCACAGACTGGAGGTTGAACACCACTGATAGAGAGTAACCCTGTTCATTACTGTCTGTGGCATCCACCATTATTAGGGATCTCCATAAATCGTGCCGGAAGTTCCCCCTGCAAGACCTCCTTTAATGTTTTCATTTCACCACTTTCCCCACTGCCACTGATTGAGTCACTCAAGGTATAGGTTAGGTTAAATAAGACTACTTAACAGTAGTCTTAAAAAGAAAAAAAATGTGCTCACAGTTTGCCAAGGTAAACTAACGCAACAAAATTAAAACTGAACATCGATTAATCCTTGTTTCATCACACGTACCATGGTTTTAAAATTTCTTCAAGTAATTTTTTTTTTACATAAACACAATT